TCTACAGGAAACAGATGCCTCCCTTAGCAGGTAAGCAGAGGGAGAAGGGGACAGGGCAGAGGACACAGTGCCTGGTGGCTCAAACACAAAGCAGCTGGGGTAAGAACTAAAGGAAGAGGTACCTGGAACCATGGAGCTAGAGCAGGGTAACCTGGGCCATCTGCATGGACACCTCTCTCCTGCCAGGCGGGCCCTGGAGCTGAGCCTGGCTCTGGTGAACAGCTCCAATGTGCGAGCCATGATGCAGGAGCTACAGGCCTTCCTGGAATCCTGCCCCCCTGATCTTCGGGCTGACTGTGCTTCAGGCATCCTATTGGCTGCAGAGAGGTGAGGTGACCAGAGGTGAGATGACCTGGGAGTCAGAGGGTGTACCCTGGAGAGGGATGGTGACAGGACTGATGAGTCACATCCCCTAGGTTTGCTCCAAGCAAGCGGTGGCACATTGACACCATCTTGCACGTGCTGACCACGGTGAGATGGGGTAGTCAGGGGGTTGGGTAGGAGTGGGCAGCTCTCACTGCTCTGACTTGGCCGTATCCACCCCTCTCCAGGCAGGCACCCATGTGAGGGACGACGCAGTAGCCAACCTGACCCAGCTGATTGGGGAGGCCCAGGAGCTTCATGCCTACTCTGTGCGCCGTCTCTACAGTGCCTTAGCAGAGGACATCTCCCAGGTCTCACTCCCTTCTCCCCAGGACCAGCTGAACAGCCTTTTCAAAACTAGAATGTGAATGGTTTTCCCTCAAGCATAGGACCCAGAAGATGGTTGAGGACAAAGCTTATTCTTCTGGCCTGGCCTGGTGCCTACTGACTGCAGCTCCAGATGAATAATTTAACTTTCTTTAGCCTCCACATGCTCAACCTTACAGAATGCCCACCTCTCAGACTGACTTTGGGATCCAATGGGATATAGTAAAGCTTGACACATATATTCATTTCTCCTATTACCTCCAATGCTGAGTAGATTAACAGGTGCCAGCCGATATCTATAAATGCCCTTTGTTAACTTAACCCTGTTTCCTCATGAGTGCCGGGCCTCTCGGGTCATGTGACCAGGCCATGTAGTTTTGGTGCATGCCCACCAGAGGGCAGTAGGAGCCAAAATGCCAAGACAGCCTGCTAACAAACTTAACCTTTCCCTCCCTACCCAGCCAACCCTACCATCTTTGCCCTGCAGTAAAGGGACACTGTAGGGTCTAGAAGAGAGGAGGCCCCAACTAGCTCAGGTGTCTTCTCCCTCATACAGCAACCACTGGCTCAGGTGGCAGCTTGGTGCATTGGCGAGTATGGGGACCTCCTGCTGGAGGGTAACTGTGAGGAAATCGAGCCTTTTCGGGTAAGATCTGAGGAGTGAGAGGTGCACTGGGGAGGATTCATCAGGACAGACAGACATGACCTGTGGTCGTGACCGGTTGTCCACACCTGAAGGTGGAAGAAGAGGAGGTGCTAGCGCTACTGGAAAAACTGCTGCAGTCCCACTTGTCCCTACCAGCCACCCGAGGCTATGCTATCACAGCTCTCATGAAACTCAGCACCCGGCTCCGGGGAGATAACAAGTAAGAAAGAGGTCCCAGCCCTTGAAGATAACCCCCTTCACTGTGACTACTAGCCTTTGAGCTCTCCAGGCACACATCCCTCTCCCCCTCCCCCTAGCCCTTAGGAATCTGCTTTTGAGCCACATATAATAGGTGTCTCCTGACTCTGTGAGGCATCTGCCTTCCCTCTTATCCTGGAGTGGGAGAGCAAGCTGGCTGCCATTGCCTCTCACACGCCACGGTGTGGCCCAGTCGTATCCGCCAGGTGGTGTCCATCTACGGGAGCTGTGTGGACATAGAGCTTCAACAGCGGGCTGTGGAGTATAACGTGCTCTTCCAGAAGTATGACCACATGAGGTATGTCCAGAAACCCACATGGAGAGCTCCAAACTGTCCTCTCCCAGTGTTCCCTTCTAGATACGAGAGTCCCATGTTCTTGCTCTCTGTGGTGAGCACCTCCCATCCATAGCTGACACCGAACTGGTTCCCAGTTCTCATTGGTTGTCTAAAGACTAGCAACAGTGCACTGTCTTAGGAATCTAGAACGGCACTTGGGACCCTGCATGCCCAGGGCCCCTCTGTGTTCATAGTCTTCTTCCCAAATGCTTCTGTGAAAGCACAGGGCTCACACAGAGGGACCCTTGTGTTCCATCCTTTCAGGGCTGCCATCCTTGAAAAGATGCCTCTTGTGGATCGAAGTGACTCTCAAGTTGTTGAGGAAAGGAAGGAAAACAAAGCAGGGGCCCAGCTCTTGGAAGCAGCAGCCCCCGTCCCCACAGAGCCCCAGGTGAGGAGGTTGGAAGACCTGGGTAAAGAGTACTTCTGTGGCCGGGTGGTGGTGGCACACGCCTTTAATCCCAGCACTCGGGAGGCAGAGGCAGGCAGATCTCTGTGAGTTCCAGGCCAGCCTGGTCTCCAGAGCGATGCCAGGATAAGCTCCAAAGCTACATAGAGAAACCCTGTCTCGAAAAACCAAAAAAAAGAGAGTACTTCTGTGGGTGTCCATGCGATGCCATGACCCTCCTGCCCTTTTCCCCAGGCCGCTAAGCTCTTGGATCTGCTAGATCTCCTGGATGACACTCCTGGGCATGCCCAGCATCTTCCTCCTCTGGCTCCTTCCCCAGGGGAGGCCTTAGTACACCTTCTCGACCTTCCCTGTGTACCTCCACCCCCTGGTAAGCCTCAACAAAGGGAGGTACTTTATAGAAGGTGGGTGGAAATGTGTCATTTCTCTTTCTGAGCCAAGGATGGAGACAACCATCTCAGTAGGTAAGGTTTTGTTCCACACTGGTTCCATCTTGTTTCTCTATAATGATCTCCCTTGTCGGATTTCTTTCCCTAGTCTGTGGTCCTGTTTCTGCTCCAGGCTATGTCATATCACTTCCCACCACCCACTCCACGGGTCCCTTCAACTCCCCAGATCCTTCCACCTCAAGCACTTGACATTTCAAATGACTAACTCATGCTCACTCTTCCAGCTTCAGCTAAATGGCAGCTGTCTTACCTCCCTCTCCCACTTTCCTGTTTAACTCAGTTCTTCCCGGTTACTTTTGCCTGATTATCTTGTATTTTGTTGTTTCTCCCCCCTCTTGCCCCCCACTAGATGGTCTGCTCCAACCTCAGCTTATCTGGGACAGTGCAGGGCCAAGATTTGCTTGCTCCATTTTTATTGGATGAGTGAATGAATGTGCTGTGTTAAGCCTGTGCACTGAGCTGCCTCTCTCCCTTCTCCAGCTCCCATCCCCAGTCTCAGAGTGTTTGAGCGTGACGGCGTTCAACTGGACCTTTCTTTCGTGCGGCCCCTGGAAACCCCAGGCTTACTCTTAGTCACTGCCACCACCACCAACTCCTCAAAGGAGGATGCTACCCACTTTATTTGCCAGGCAGCTGTGCCCAAGGTTTGAAAAAATGGGGTTCAGCCCGGTGTGGTAGCTCGTGCCTGTGATTCTAGAACTTGAGGAGCTGAGACAGGGGACTCACTGAGGCCAACCTGGGCCACATAGTGAGTTTAAAGCCAAGTTGGGCTATGCTATCACAAAAAAAAAGAAGAAAAAACTAGGATTCAAAGGTGGCATAGGCACTCTAGAAGAAAAGGCCAGAAGTAGTGGAGGTGGGTCGGGGGACAGAGTGAAATGGGAAAGGGGGTGATATAGACAGTTATTGGGGAGATATCAAAAAATGTTTGGGAGCCACTGGGTGTGGAGGACTGACTGCCTGAGCCCACCCAGAGGTCTTACTACACTCTGCCCAAACCTCCCGTGTTCAGAGTTTCCAGATGCAATTACAGGCTCCCAGTGGGGACACAATTCCAGCTCAGGGTGGCCTTCCTGTCACCCAGCTCTTCAGAATCCTCAATCCTAACAAGGTGAGTTGTCAGACCCTGAAGATAGGAGAGATGGAGGCAATCAGGGACCTAAACCTGCTCTCTGCTTTCCTATTTTTAGGCGACTTTGCGACTAAAGCTGCGCCTCACCTACAACCACTTTGGCCAGCCAGTACAGGAGATCTTTGAGGTGGATAACTTGCCTGTGGAGACGTGGCAGTAACTTGCTGTGGTTCCTGTCTGGCCTGGGTTTTTCCAGGCTCTTGGTGTCTTATTCGAGGAATGGAAATAAAGGTGCACATAAATCGACAGTAGCAAGGAAACTTTATTCGAAAGCAAAGTGATAATACAAATCAGAAATACGCTTCGAAGAGCAATGACCACAGTACTCACTGGCCCAGGGTCATCGCCTGATGCTTCTTTAATGGCGTCTTAAGGGGAGGAGGAGTTCATTGCTGAGTGGCATAATTTGACTGGTCTCTATTTTGACAGGCTTGGATCTTGTAAGCTTCTCCTCACTGTGCATGACCCTTCCCATGATTTTAACCATATGCTCATTCTGCAGAAGCACAGGATGGAAAATAGGGGACTCTCCTTAAAAGTTCACCCAAAGGACAATCTGCCTTACTCTGCTTGTACCCAGAGCCTTCTAGGCCCAATCAGCTCCCTATTTTTCATACTCTGGTATGTTCTAAAATGTTTGAATGAAAACTCTCCACAAAAGGGTACTTTTTGATGGCTGCTAGGGGAGGAGAGACCTATTCCATTGTTGGAAGTGGGACATAAATGGAACTCAGTACAGGCGGGGGGGGGGGGGGGGGGGGGGGGGGGGGAAGGGGGTGTGTGCCTGGTACCTGCAGGGGAGAACCCTCAGACAGCGTGTGCCTGTTAGATGAGAGGTGTGCACAGCTCAAACTAAGTGCAATTCCAGGTGGCTAAGCTGCTGCCTGGACCAGCCTGCCTCATAACTTTAGCCTCAGCTCACCTAAAATCTTTTTTGCACCTTCAGCTGGGAACACAGCCCTGAGGGCTGACAGCAGGTGGCACTCCAGCCCTGTATTCGTCACCACAATCTGAAGAGACTGCCTCCTCCCGACAAATAATGGAAGCCTAGGAAACCTGAGGGGAGGCAGGAAAGCATATTCTGACCTAGTGAGAAAGAAAATGTCCACACAAGGGTAGAGCCTTCTCCACAGGAAGTGGAGACTTCCTGAAACCCCAGAACCTGTCTCAACAATGATGATTTTCTTTCTACCCCTCTCTAGGTTGGAGAGCAAATTTATCTCTAAACTGGTACACAGGGCGCTCTACCCTCAGGGCACAGTGGCAGACCCAGCAGAATTTCCAGATTTCTAACAGAGGTTCCCAACCATTTCCCCACTTTGTTGCTATTCCCTACACCCCAAGGCAGGGAAATCCCTGCTGCTTCCCCGCATCTCTAACTCAGCTGTAAGGCGGCTTCAGAGCTGCTGGCAGAATCAATGGCATCGACCACGGGAGGGGGGGTGGCAAGGGATTTTCCTGTGCTTAACTACTGATCACGGCTAAGTGGAAATCCTATAAACACGAGCGGAAATCAATGGAGGCTGCTTAGCGGCCAGGGGAGAGGGGCGGCCCACAGATTGCATCTGACGGATGAGGGAAGCAGTGAGGGAGGGCCCAAGGAAGAGTAGCTGAGAATGGGTGAAAGACCAGGCAGAACTGGAGACAAAAGTGGCTCTGTTGTAAGGGAAGGGGCACGGTGGGTCCAGGTGCGGATAGCAGCTTCAGAGAGCTCCCTTCCCTCCTAGAAAGTGAGCCCTGTGCCCATAAACTGCTGTCACGATGTTAAGTCCCCTGTGGCTTCACTGGAACTGTTTGCTTCTAGCAGGCGCTGATAATCCAGAGGCCTGAAGCGCTGTAGGTATACCAAGAGCTTGGCAGGTGCCTTCTCCTGTGCTGGCACTCCTGAAGGCAAGAGGACAATGAGGAAAGAAACATGAAGCCATTGAATACACTTTGACTTTGCTCCCTGCCCGCCCAGCCAGGACTCCAAAGTTTGAAAAGTAGTACTAAGAATCCAGATGCCACCCAAGCAGCTTCTCTTAAGCCACCCAATCCCTTGTTGGCCTGCAGAGGTGAGACCCCAAAGATCCACTCGGCTGTGTGGCGTGAGCCTCTCCTCTGGCAATGAGAAATAGTAAGGAAGCACTCTGTGCCATGTAGACAGGGGAACCAACTCATTTCACTTATTACCTCTCTCTCCCAGTCAAGATTCAAGCCCGTCTAGGCAAGCCAAAGCTCATTAGCTCAGTAATGAGGCACATGCAGCGAGGCACAGAAGAAAACCAAACGCTATGGAAAATAAAGGAAAGCAGGAACTGTGTGGTGGCAGCATTCTGTTCATAGATCTCCTTTCTAACTACCTATTGCCAGTGTTGTTAATGGACACTGGCATGCTGACCCACAACAGGACACTCCATGTGTGGTTTCTAGGGCGATTCAGCCCTCTAGGGCTGTCAGAACCTGTAACGGTACACAAACCCTTAAATGTTGGGATGAGCTGTCTATATCAGAGTTAGGCAGGCATGGAAACAGAGAAATCTGCCACAGCACCACACCACACACCCCCACCCTGCCCCATACAAATGTAACGTTCTCATATTTACTCCAAGCCAAAAGCATAGTCCAGAGGGTGTGGTTATCTATACCCGTACTCCCAGCACTTGGGTGGATCACCAGTTTAAGGCCTTACCTGGGTTACATAGAAGACCGAATAAAAAGACAAGGGAATGATGGGGATGTTGGAAGTTGAAGGAGAAAATGGAGCTCATGGAAAGGAACAAAACAGAGGCCTGATAAACGCAACTAGGAGAATTAAATGAGGTGATAACTAAGAGAAAGAATGGAGACAAGAATTAAATCCAAATTAGCTACTATAAAATAGAAAATGACTTTATAGAAGTATAAACAAACTGGATCTTTGAGAAAATTGCTACAAGAAAATTCCCTTATAAAAATGATTCTGAGCCAGGCAGTGGTGGCACACACCTTTAATCCCAGCACTCGGGAGATGGTGGCGCATGCCTTTAATTGCAGCACTCAGGGGGCAGAGGCAGGTGGATCTCTGAGTTCAAGGCCAGCCTGGTCTACAGAGAGAGTTCCAGGACAGCTAGGACTACACAGAGAAAACCTGTCTCAGGAAAATAAAATGATTCTGACTCTCCACTACTCTCTGACTCGGTTGCCTCCACCAGTGAGGTTAAAGAGAAGCAGGCACAGCATCACAAAGCTTGTCTCCCTCGCCAAGCATACTGCTGAGCATAGAAGGGCCTGTCTCCCTCACCAAGCATTCTACTGAAGCTGAAGATCTTCTCCAGGGCAGCTGGTACTTCAGCCTTCTCACGCACCATGACCTCTACCTCACCCACAGCATAGCCGAAGTCTGTCGAATCCAGATCCACTCTGAGCAGTGGTTCCTGTTCATGGGCTTCAGATAAGGCCAACTTCCAGGAACTTCGTGTAGTTATAAAACTAGCTACTTCCTGCAGCTTCAGTGGACCCAAGACAGCAGCCACACCGGCAATCTCTGGCTCCTCAGCCTCCAGCAGTTCAAAGAGCTCGGCCACAATTGCAGATTCCGATGTGAGTTCCACATACTCATTGTGGGGTCCTGAGATGCCTGCTACTCCAGGACATTTGAGCTCCCAGCCACTACCTTGTCGTTGTCGCAGCCAGTGGTCAGACCGCATAAGGCTTAGCTCAGAAGTATCATAGTAAGTGTCCCGGAAGGTGACCCGGCGCTCCAGAGTGCCCCCCAACTCCTGCAGCCTTTCCTCCATATCAGGCCCCGGAACAAACTTTCGCTCCACTTCAATCAAGCCCTGAGCCATGTTACCTGCAACACAAGTTTGCCAAGAATTCACCACTGTGTGCTCAAGGGTACGGCTGGTCAGCGGAGACCCCCTAGTCCTGGATGATCTTAAGAGGCACATACACTATCTTAGAGCTCTGCCTCAGTGACAAAAGGCTCTACTTCGAGGTTTCAACGTGTTGCAATGGTGACAGGACTCCAGTTAAATCCTAGTATTGATAATGGCTTCAACCCAAAAGGCTCCCTGGAAAGCAGGCCGCGATGCTGATGAACGTCAACATCTCCCTACACCCTGTCCCCCAGGCCAGTGCTTCACTGTCCTGTCATTCTTCGCACAGGACGGACAAGCTAAACCTCAGAACTCTCTTCAAGACCCCAGGTCTCCCTCTCCTGGGACCCGGAAGTGGGGGAAGGGAACCCACGCTACACCCGCGAGGAATGCCGGGAGAAAAATCTCCGGCTCCGGACCTTGGCCCTGGCTCTTTACGCGCGAGGTCCGGTCTTAGCACCAGCGGCCATATTAGACCGGTATGGCGGTGCCGATGACAAGCTAGGCCCGAGAGGTCTGTCAGGTTACGTGCGAGCCACCCCGGTAGGCAAGAGGAGCGAGACCATCCTCTCGCCCGCTGCTCATCCCTGGATCCTTCCTGGAGCCCGGGCATCGGCCAAGATCTCGAGCCTTAGCGTGAGCCTGGCACCCTGGGCCTGATGCATGATGGGAGATGTAGTTCCAAAGGGCCATCTCACCTTTCGTGCCCACCCGTCGCTATGGTGATCAGAAGCATGCAATTAGTGTTAGCCGGCCGGACTCTACCTAAAGCTGAACAGGCGGGGATTAGGGGGTGGCGAACGTGAAGGGTAGAATACCAGGAGCTTAGGCTCCAGTCTCCAACACCTCCCAACGTAGACTGTGGGTGGGTCTGATGAGATACAAGCCACTCGAATACTGTAGTGCTTGGCTGCCCGCTAAGGGCTGGCTGACCGGCCAATGGCAATGGTGTAAAGCATGAGTGGAGTAATTCAGTTTAGCCACTTGGAATGTTTCTTATGCTTTTATTTATTTGTTTTTTTGACACAAGGATCTCATGTAACCGAAACTAGCCTGGAACTCCTAATCCTCCTTAGAGTGAGGGCTGGGTTACATGTGTGAGCCACCATGTTCTGCCTCTCTCTATCCTGAAATTTTAGAGGGGATCTAATACAACTGCGACGAATGTTTAGGATAAAGGTGAGTGGGAAACTTTCTATCAGCGGAGGAAGTGATATTTTGAATGTGAATTAGAGATGTGATGGGGGAGCTGAAGCGATGGTTCAGCACTTAAAAACACTTGCTGTTCTTAATAGAGGACTAGGGTTACCTTGTCAGCACATAAATGACCAAACACACCTCCATAACCAAGTTACAGGAAGATCTGACGCCCTCTTCTGGACTCCTCCAGTACTACAGACAAAGCACTAAATTAAAAAAAAAAAATTAATTCTAGGAGGAGGGAGAAGAAGAAAAGAAGAATGTGATAGGATTTCTATTGCTGCCTGGGTAAAGGCCCACAATCTAGCTACAGCACCTAGTTAGTACCTGAGCAGATGGTGGCTTGAGTGGCAGGTTGTAAAGTGAGTGCCAGAAGTCCTTGAGCTGGCTTTGTCAGGAGTAAGAGAATTAGTCAGGCACACAACTGTAACTCCATCATCTGGGATGGCTGAGGCAAAAGGATCACTTGAGCTACAAACTGATTTTCAGGCCATCCTGGGCTAAGGGCGAGACCTTGTCCGGAAAAGACAAACACAAATAAACACAGAAAGACACAGGAGTCACTCTCCTCTGCTTTCAGAACCAGAGGCAGATCTTTATCCTTACCCTAACACTGTAGTGTATTTGTAAACCTTAATTCTGTGTGTGCCTCTGAGGACACTCACCTTCTAGACTTTCTTCCATGATAAGTGACGAGTGTGACACCTGCTCCCTTATGTGGGGGGGTGGAAATAGGTCCCTGGTTTACAGGCATGGCAGGAGGTGGCATTACAGAAACTGCTGCTTCTGGTCTACTGGGTTAGATCTTATAGAAGGCAGAAAATATCAGAGCTCTCTGGGTCAACGAGACTGAAAAGTGAAGCCAAAGGTCTGCATGGGGAGGAAACACCCCAGACCCCAGCTCTTCTCACCTGCTCTTTATCGGACCCTTCAGCAAAAACTCGAAGTCATAGACCATTGCCCTTCCCAAGTCTCAGCTTTCTCAGTGGTCTGCCTCACACCTATATGAGGATTGAAGATTCATTAGCAAACTCAACTGTTACAGGGTAGGAAAGATATTGGTTTCTTCCCCACCCTCAATTTCAGCAGTTTTTGCTGTTGTTGTCATTTAAGAAAAATACGCCATAGCAGCTAGCTTGGGCTCTGGAATCAGGCTACTGAGGTTTGCATAATGGTACTATTGTTTATTGGCCATGCAATCTTGAGCCGGCGATCCTTGGTTTCCTCTACTATAAAATGCACTCCTGAATACTCTGTTTTAGAATGTTAGAAATTAGAATATAAAGCATTGAGGAGCTGACAAGCTGAAGAGGAGAAGGAACCAGAACCTCCCCTCTCCCTACCCAACTTGGGGGAGGGAGTGCAACTGATTGAAAGACAGTAGCAGCTCTGGGAGACTTGCTATGACAGAGAAGGTTCTGGTAATCAAAAGGGAAACGGTAAGGCTAGAAGGGGGTGAAATAGTGATGGGCCCCGGACAGCTCTGGGCAGCTTGCTCTGATAGTGACTTAAAACAAAACACAGTGTCTGTAAGCAGTATAAAGAGGAGGGGACGAGTGTTTAAAGGGACCTACTCTTTTTGCCGGAATAGAATAGACCCAGCGCCTGAGTCAAGGAAGAAGCCGATGGCAAGGTTGGCCTGTCCCACCCCAAGATCCTAGCCCCTACCCACGTCTTTGCGTCCCGGGATGCGGTAGACTTGGCCCTAGCCGTCTAAGGAGGGCGGAGGCCTGTAGACTACAGCTCCCGGCATGCACTGCGGCGGGCGGGTCGCTGCACCTGCTCAGTGGGGCTGCCCCGGGCGCCTGGGTATTGATTATTCCATTGTGTGGGACGCCTCGGCTCCAGCCAGTGAATGAGGCGGAGGAGTGAGGGCTAGAAGGAGGAGGGCGAGGAGGAGGAGGAGGAGGAGACAGGGAGCAAGCCAGTGCCCAGGGTGAATCAATGGAAACCCACTCACGAAGCCGGGAAAACACTTCAGCCGCAGCCAAATAGCATTGATTATTTTCTTTCACTTCCCTCACCGCCGTGAATTTATTTATTTTTCCATCTCCGTCCCCGACGCCCCGGAGCGAGCGCTGAAGGGAGGGAGGAGGAGGGGCAAAAAAGGAATCAACACATCGGAGAAGTCCCTTCCAAGAGCCGCCCCCTCCCCTCCCCGCCTCGCGCTGCTTGGCGGCCGCGGTTCGACTCCCGTCCCTGCTTCCAGCTGAGGTGTAAGTGCATCGATTTCCGATGCTGCTGGGTTGGGTTTTTTTTCTTTTTTCTTTTTTTCCCCCCTCTGCCTCTCACTCTCCTTCCCTTCCATGCTCTTCCGAATCTCGAGATAAGAGTAGAGAGGAGGCGCTGGGTGACTGCTACTGGAGGGGACGGAGAGGGACGGGAAGGGGCTGGGGGAGGGGACGCGGACGGACAGACAGCCGGGAAGAAGGGGACAGGAGTGTGGGGGAGAAAGGGCGTGCGATCCGGAATGGAGAAGAGAGGCAGGGGTGGAGGAACGGAGAAGGGGAAGATACGGGCCAGACAGTCAGTCAGGGTAGCGAGAGCCTAGACGTACCGCGCCGATCTTTACCAGGAGCGGGGTTCCTGGAGGGAATGGGAGGCCGGGTGAGTGCCAGGGCTCCGAGCTATAGCCGGGAGGGGCCTGCGGCACAGAGGAGCTCGGCTGGCTGCGGGATGGGGGAGAAACCCGGGCGGGAAGGCTGATGGATGGGCTAGCGCGCCGGGGTGCGGGGTGGAAGGGGGAGTGGATACCTTTAATGTTCATTTTTGCCTGAAGTAGGTGAGGGGAGCCTCATTCACAGTGAAGCATGCCTGCCCCGCTTCTCCTGCTACCCCGACTCTCCACCCGCTCGCCTATGCCCCTCATCATTTTTTGAGCTCTGGACCACGCTTCTCACTGTGCCTGCGCCCCCACTGATCTGCGGTTGTGCCATTTTTCACTTGGCTCCCCCACCCCATCTATATCCAGTTCTGTGTGTCACTGTCTTGACTGTGACACTTCTCATCGGAGTGATCCTTACAGCGTGCCCCTGTCCCTATGTGTCACGCCTAGACTGATTGACTGTTGGGCCATCCACGGCTCTCCTTCAGGGTCTGTCTGCACGACGGTGGCCTTTTCAGCTACTTTGGAGTTTGCTTATCAGCCATGATTGTGGTAGTCTATGGTCAGGGCCTGAAGAGTAGGGAGATGGAGCGGATGTGTCTACCCCTAATGACTCCAGTGCCCTTTGGGTATGGGCACGACAGCCTTCTGTTCACCTTCAGCAGGGAAGCCTTGGAACTTCTGGCATTGTTGATCATCACCTCGTTTGCCATGTGCCTTTGGGTCTCCAGTATGCCTTCTGCTTTTCCAGGAGCTTTCCACCACAAACCTCATCCTTGCTGACTTAATTTTCCTCCCTTCCCCCACTCTACCATTGTATATATCTTTTTTATCCCACCAGTTTACTTCACCCTATCTTCATATCCTTTTATCTGATGGGCTCCCTTGCATGGTCTCCATCTTTGTTCCCTTTTCTCCTTGCTCATCCAAAGTTGGTTTTGTTTGTTTGTTTTTCGTTTTGTTTGTTTGTTTGTTTTAACATATCCTGTTACCCAGCATTTTAACCCTAGCAGCAGATGATGCCACAAGCAAAGGGCTGGGTGAGAGATGGGGCTTATGTTTTGTGAAGGCACATAAAAAGGCCAAGAAATCAATTTAATGGGCTTCCAGGGGCATGTAACTCCTTCATCAATCAGTTCCATGATGTCAGTTAACTGTCAACTTTAATTTTGTAAGGGAATGTTCTTTAGCTCCACCCTACCTGGGCTGCCCCTGTCCTGTAGTTCATTCTATATGTCAGTGGCTTTTTCTTCACTTTTTAGTTCATTTTTCTCATGGGATCCTGCTATTATTCTCTTTGGATTTAGCAATATTCTTTAGGAGACACATTTTATTATTCTCAGAAAACCTGTCTTATACAAGGGCTATGTTCCTTCAGTCTAAAGAATGGTAAACGTGGATAAAGGATGTGGAGAGTTTATCGTAGATTTAAACCCATCATTATTTTTCCAGACCCCAGGAGCTAAAAAGGATAAAAAGACGAGGTAGCTATGGGCAGATGATGATGGAGGCAAGGGGAGAGCAGGTTCAGTAAACACAAGGGTTAAAGAAATGTATGGCCAAAGAGAACGATGAGAATCTATTCCGGATGTACAGGGAAGGGGAGGAACTGAGGGGCGATTAATGAAAAATTGAGAAATTTAATTAAATAAATATGAGTTAATAGCTGTACAGTAGGAGAGAGAAAGATGATATAGTATTCCTCAGGAGGAGTCAACAAAAGCAATAGGACCTTAGTATAGTGGTCGAGTGGGGGAAGGGAAGAATTAGGGGGAAAGACGAAGGTAAATGGATGGCGAAGGCAGGAGTGCTGAAGCAGATCAGAGCGGCACCAAGCCCTGGAAAGGGAAGAGAGGAAAGAGTGGGGTATCAAAGGAGACAAATGCCTCCTCTAGTGTGAGGAGGACACAGCACGACCAAGGGAAAGAGAGAGCACTGCAGGGGGTGAGCAATTTGGAAAAAATGGCTCAGCAGACTACCACTGGGCCCGAAAAGAGAGATGCTTATGAGGAAAGAAATTACAGAGATGAAGAGACAGAAGGGAACCTCACCAGCATTCATTCCGTCAGTCAGCCTCATCAGTCACTTTGTATTTTATTGCCAAGCCAGGAGAACACAGAAAAGAGATGAAAAAGTAGAATCCCCATTTACTTCAAATGACAGGAACTTGAATCTTGCCAGCCCCCTGAGAAGCAAAGACTTCAAGCCTCTGATGTCATAAATTGCTGGGTTGCCTTGGCAACCTGACAGGGTCCCTCCCCCATGATGTCAGAGGCAGCTGGTGTTACCATATTGAGACCCATACAGGAACACCTTGCCCCTCTGCATCACGTGTGGCACTGGGGCCTAGTCTATAGGACTCCTGTCTCTAGCAGTGACTTTGCTTCTCTGGAGCTATTCTTAGCTCAGGACAATTGTCACAAACTACTTTGTGAGTGCCTGAGGCTTACTAGATCCTGACAAAAGCCAGAGGAAGTGACCTCAAGAGACAATGGGCATCAAGGTTGAAATAGTGCGCGATAGAGAGGCATGCAAAAAAGGAAGAGAACTAAAAATGGCAGCCACAGAATAGGAAAGAAGGTTTTTGTGAACCAGAAGGAGAGCTGTTGAAAAGTGTCACAGGAAACTGGTTTGGGTCTAGGAGTGAAAGGCAAAGCTGGGGATCCAGAGGACCAGAGCAGTGACCCCGTGTAAACTGATGCCTTGATAGAATATGGAGGAGAGTTTTGGCAGTAATATTTGACTGAAGATGAAAGGGCCCCTTTACTTTGAGAGAGCAGAGTGGCACATAAAGGTCTTGTCAGCTATTAGGGGCTGCTTCTATTCGCTTTCTTCCTTTTTGCAGGGAGAGAGTGTTGGGGGTTGAAACAGGGTCCCACTCTGTTCCAGACTAGCCCAGGCTAGTCTGGAACTTGAGGAGATCCTACTGCTGCAGTCTCCTGAGTTCTGGAGTTTTAGGTCTGAGCCACCATGCCTACCTCTAGTCTCTAATTGTTTTGTGACACTTGGTAGTATCTGCCACGCAGATATTCATAAATACCTGATGAGCAAATGTTCAGAGAGTCCTGGAGTTGCCCTGACTCCCATCCTATCTCCCAGACCTCAGCCTGCATACATAGTCAAGTTGGGAAATCAAAAACGAGGGGGAACGGCCAGCAGACCTAGTGGTAGAGAAGAGAGAAGGAGTTAAGGGCTGAAGGGAGCCAGACTAATTCTCAGGGTGGACAAGGGGAGTCTGTCGAAATAGTGCCAAGAAATTGCGAATGAGCCGTCCTAGTAGCCGGGGATGATAAAGAAGCAGATTCCAGGAAAGGCCCGGGGTGTTTTCAAAGAGCAGGCAAATCTGATACAGCATTTCCACCCCATTCCCTGTCATGAAGCTAAAACTGAGTCAGCCGTGCTCAGACACAGGTGTGCACAAGTGAGCACAAAAGTTCATAAATTGATACCAGACCCATCTTAAGCGCCTGTCTCAAAGTGGTTGCAAGGACTCGAACACTGGACAGGTGGGCCAGAAGATAAGAGATAGGAGTTAAACTGCTGTCCAAACCTTGGTGTTAACAACCATGTAAGAAATGACCTTCACATCTGACTGCCCATTGTTGAAGAAAGTCATGAAACAGAGCTCACTGCAGTCTCAGAGTGAAGCTACAGAAGGAAGCCATACAGGAGAAAGGTGTATCAAACCAGGGCTGATGACGTGTCCTGTTCTTGCATTAGAGGCAGAAGACCCTGGATGAGTTAAGAAAGGGGGCAGAAAAGACGAGGAAGAGAGAGGGTCTGGCTTATAAAAAGCAAGGCCTGGTAGCAGAAGGGGCTGGGGCTGGGGTGGGGGTGAAGGGAGAGGACAGTGGCAGCTGTGTGTACTGTCAGCAGCCGACACAGACTTGGGCAGCTCATATTTTGCCGCAGGTGACAGGCTGTCGACACGGGGGTCCTTTACCTCACTGTTAGAAACTCATTTCATTGATTTTTCCATCTTTCTTCTCAGACTCCTCACACTAAGCTCCGGGCATCCCACCACCTGCTTTCCCAGGGTCCCTTTGCTTTCTGGGAAAGCCTCCATGAACTAACTGCCTACCACTATTTTTTGGTGCACCCTGGGCAGGGAGGCAGGGGTGGAAGATTTGGAGATAATGTCCAGATGGTGGATAGACTCCTGTGTTAGAATTTACTGGTGGAAATTCTTTCCTTTTTCCTTGAGACAAGGTTCTGCTGTATAGTTGTAGCTAGCCTGGAATATCACTGACAGTGATATTCCTACCTCTGCCTGAGTCCTGGATTCTTTATCTTTTTTGGGGGGGCGGTTGGTGTTTGGAGGGGGCTCTCATGTGGCCCTCAAGCTCACTACTTAGCAGAGGCAGGCCTTGCACTCCTGGTCCTTTATTGATAACAAGCATCCAGCATATGTGCAGCTTCTTTTCTGTTTCCTACAGCTCAACACCCTCAGCATTTTTTCCTTCAATTGTTAAGTGAGAAAACTGGCGTTTCCTGCTGAATTTGGGCAGGAATACAGGGTTATTTCAGAGCTAAAGTTAAGGCCTTGGAATTCTCAGCAGGGCCATCCGCCAAGATGATGTATGCATGGGGACATATACCATTTGGAGACCA